TGAGTCTTGGAAAGCGCATAAACTGTTCAACACCAACTGAGCGCACTTGAAGCGGTCAAAGGTTACTTCTTGTAATACTCGATCACTGCACAGCGTCAGCAAACAATTTTTCTGCAACTGTAAAAGAAAAAAAAAGAAGGGATAAATTTACTGTCCATAGTACGGTACAATAATCCAAAACGTGGTTTGAAAGTACAGCACATCCAGGAAACTATTAGTAATGTAAAGCTCAATTCGAATACAAGAGACAGTGTACAGTAATTCCATTTCTTTCAGATTCCCAAAAATGGGAGACATTCAACTGAACCAGCAGTTCAGCCCAAAAATGTTTTCATTCACACGACTGAGTTCTTCTGGCATCAACAATCTACTGTACTGTACATCGATGCCTGCGTTAAAAAAAAAAAACTGAGGAAAAATTATACATACATTAATAAAAACATTAACTAATTATAAATATTAGTGTACATCCTCAATTTTCAGATCTACCTGATACTCGAGCTTTTTTGTCTGACATGGACTCGTTAGTTTTTGATTCGGTATGCGAAGCAAATTGACACAAAATAAAAATAATGTTAAAAGAAGTTTCTGTTGAAACTCAACTTTTCCAACCTAAAAAGAGAGGTTGTTCCAATAAACATTTTGAGGCACACGCTTCATCGCAGATTGAACGAACGATTTGTTCTACCTGGAATTTTAAAAATCTCGGATTTCACGCGCTACACGTAACCGCCACGGAATACTGAATATCTTATTATACTCCAAGAAAAAAATGTAGGCACATTCCTCACCTGCAAATTATGCATAAAATTGTGCATGGCAAGCAGTGTGAGGCGAACCATACGCCTCAGCGAACACGGGCTGATTTCTCGACAATTTTCCCCTTTACTAAGATTGTAAACGCACGCCGTCGCGGCCATTTGGATCCGGCTTTGCAACTGGTGTTGTTCCATGGCATCAAGTACCAACTGGAACAAAGCCGTTTCATCAGATAATCTAAACCTTTTTTGGCTGTTGGGAAAATTAACTCACGTTCAGTGCTTCCGCCTTCGGTTTGAACTCGTACACAAACGCATTAGTGAACGTGAACAATTGGTGCAACGCACTCTGAACGAACACGTGACGGGAACGGTAATATCTCAACGAGTTCAGAACTTGAACTTTTGTTGCACATCCCGTAATCTGGAAAATGAATTTCATGAAAAAAAAATGTCATTGATCAATTCAGTCTCCAGCAAGCAGAAAGATATTGGGAACAATGAAGATTTCCGGGATCATCCCATAATCCCTTGAAACATTTTCAACATCGAGTCACATTCAAGCGCACATGAACAAAAACTTCGATAATCCTTGAATGTGCAGGTAATCCCAAAATTTGGTTTGACTTGAATCACAATGCGCAAGAATCTCCAATTATATAACTTAAATGAAAAGGTTGATCAATTTACAATTAATGAACTACAATAATCCCACTCCAACGTAATTCTTTGTAAGGACGAATTACACAATAACATAATTCTGTATTATATTTTTTAGTGAAACTAAAATTGCATTTCATGCAGTGAATATAACTTGAGAGGAAAAAACTGCTCAATGCGAATTGTTCGATACTGTTTCAAATTTGAGCTGGATTCCTGTTCCCTGCATTAACATTGGATGACGCTTCAAACTAATCAGATCATAGTTTCTGAAATGCGTGAATCATCGGAATAAGTGCATGTAATTGAACACCAGAATAATTAGCACTTGGCGTGCGAATCCTAAGATTTGAACAAATGTTGATTTCTTTCTTTCTTCGGAAGACCGAGCAAATATGCTTCCTCAAGCCATTCAAATTTTTGAAAAAAAAAAAAAAATTCCGAGGATAATTCAAAATTATGATCACACTCGAAAATAATTGAAAGTTATGGTCTGTCGAACACTCACCGTCATATCGTTGTCCCTACATGTGAAGGCGTCATCGTAGCACATCGTCGTCATCGACAGGCCCAAAAATTTTAGTGTCGGACGAGCCAACACAAACTTATTTAATGCCGGGGCCAGGGGAAACGGAAACCCAGACAAGTCCAAGTGTTGCAATGCTGGTAAAAACGTGGGATTATGAAGAAACACATTCAAAATCTCTAGCGAAACACCAGTTCCCGTTTCATCCGCTTCCTCGCCATCGTTTGACAAATCCAGAAACGTCAACCCGCTCAAATCGGAAACCACGGAAAAAGTGACCGGAAACGACGGACGCATGAGGTTGTAGAGATTTAGAAATTTCAACTGTCCACGTCTTATGTTCCTTAGCGGTCGTATATCGTCCACGTCTGTCTCTGAGATGTCTAGGTGCACCAGATGTCGCAGATCCTTAGTGACCAATTCCAGGCCCTGGGTGTTGAAGTCGGTTTGAGACACATCGAGGACCCGAAGATTCCGCAGTTGAGACAAAGGCACGAAAAGGTAATAATCATTCTTGTTGAACCTGGAATGAACAAAATATGCAAAAGGGTAAATCGTTTATGTTACTAAACTCAGTTATCAACCTCACAAAAACAAAGAGGTCTCCTACATGCAAATTTGTAAGATAAAATCACGAACTCAAAAAATGCTTGGTATAACAGAAGACATCTTTACAGAGTCAAAAATAGCGCAAAATAAAGGTCAATTTACACAATTAGTGACTTCAATATTTTAAAACATCAGCCAGTAATTTTTCAACTCACATTTCCAGCGATTTTATAGAAATGGATATGAAAATCAAGTTTTCCTGAAGTTTCCAAAGAATTAATGCATAGCTGTGGCAACAATTTGAACTTGGAAATTAGAATTGGTTCCTCAAAAATATAACTTCTCGAACGAAGAAATAACGCCTGTAGGAGTAACTTCAAGTTCGACAGAATTATAGTAGCACTTGCAAAGTTTTCAAAAGTCTGACTCCTCATACCTCTAGATTTTTTGTGACTCGAAAAATAACGTGAACGCTTCCTCACAGCGTTCGTTCTTCAAAGATTTTTAAACACAGCATGTGTAATTAAAAAGGGGATATTTTCAATTTCTTCACAATATACAGCATTGCAAAATTTAATTAACTCGAATTCGATTTCTTCCTCTGACGAAACATTTTCATGAGTGACTGTCCACGTCATGGGATTGCATCCTTCAATTCTTTTGGATTTTAAATTTTAATTCTTCAATCTTGAATGACAATTTTCAAGAAATTGAAAACGTACACAATTTGACACTTGAAATACATATAATACGTTCGAGCCACATGAAAAAAAAAAACGAACCTGCACTTGGAGACGCTAAGGTGCGCTAGCGTCCGTCGTGTCACGTCGTTCATCGTACAAATAAGCACCGACACAGGGATTTTCAAATCGTGGCACACCAGCGACTTGAGCTGGTGTCCCCGAAGGTTCTTCAATCCGACCGGCGACAAATTCGAAGCATCCGATATGACGACGGATTCCAAATATGCGCATTTCGGCTGGAAAAGAGCCATACTGGAATTGGTCAGAAACTTTTGGCTCGCGACGGCCTCCAGAATATCGTCAGCGACTCCGCAATTGAGGTAACATTGGAGCGGGGAGCGAAACAGCATTTCATCCTCGCCAGGGTAGTCCGGGTTCGGACGCAATTTCGTGAGCTGTACCAGGCGCTCGCTGATAAACTTGAGGCAGATCTGCCTCAGGGTCATCGCGGAGTCATTTCTCCATTTCGATGCTTCCAAGAGATTCCCTTTGAAATATGAAAAACAATTTTTTAGTTCTGGAACTCTAGATAACTGGAATAATCCGATGATGAAGAATACACCAAATTATACTTTTGCTTTTCTCTAAGAGTCTAAAGGTACATGGTTTCATTCACGAACGCCGCAAAAATTTTTCTGGCCCTTTTGGCGAAGTCCATTATGATCATTTCAGAAGAACTAGTGTCATGATACAGATGAAAATGTCTTGCAAAGCGTACATACGAAAAAGAAAAAAAATAAACCAGATTTTTATCAGAAGACATCTGAAGTTTTCTCCCCGTAATTTCTCCCGTTGACCATTACTTAGAAACCCCGATTCTTCAAAATGAAATTTAAATAAAGAAAAAAATAGTTTTGCTATAGATTTTTGAAGATAATTTCATCATTATTCACGCTTCACGTTACGCAATAACTTGATTTTTAAAAGAAATCCCGCAAAATTTGCATGGAATTCGTCATCGTGATTTTCAAAAATTCACAAAACGCAACTTACTTGGAAAATGATACGTATGATCCATCGCGAAAAAAAACAGGTCACGGAACTTTCAGCCGCGCTACACTACCGCGATTCCATCATCACAATCGCGTATTTTATGTACAGTCATCTGTCGAAAGAAAACCCTGTCAACGAATTAGCCGTCGGTCTTCCAACAAGGAAAATCGCGAACAGGGCAAATTCATGAGACGCGACACAGATACAATTGCCCACGCAAAACACGATAAGGTAAGACATAAAAAAAGGCAGAAACTCAAATTTCAGAACGAACCCGCAAAAGAAAACTGATTCGTTACCGTAACGCAGAACAATTTTCACTTAGAAGGGAATGCCCATGATGAACCCGTTCGCCACTGTCAGGAACACACATGGGCTTCAATTGAAAACAAAAACTTTACCCGTACTGTTCGCGCCGAAGATCATATTCCTCATTGGATGGACGGCAATCAATGAGCAAATGGTCATGCCGAATTGTTTGTCATCAGTGAGCTGATGAATCAGCTTACCGTCAATATCGAAACAATCGATCTGAAAAAAAAGTCAAGAAGTTTTGTCGATTCGTGGCAGAAAAAAAAGGCGAGAATCAGAAAAATTTTAAATACAGTACTTTGAACATCATACGATCGAATGACAACAACGGGCATGAGGATATGTCCCAATTTTAGGAGACAAGGAAAATAATACGCGATAAACACGTATTTATTGGAATGACGGCACAGTGAAGAGGAGACCAGCAATTTTTTGTCAACTTCAAAAACCTCAGTAATCTGAATTTAGTCACGAATAAAACCAAATTTGAATCCATTATTCAATAGGGAAGGATGACTACAGTTGAATGATCAAATTCAAACAGTAATTGCGTTGCGAAATACAAATTGCGGTTTTAGTATGTGGCTACCACGCTGAACTCCTCTCCCAACCATAGAAATACATTTAAATTAAGGCCTGAAAATCAGAAAACGGACAGAATAAAAATTCGAAAGTGAGAATTATTTTTTTCAATTTTTTACTCGAGGGAATTCACTACAGTTGCGATGGATGGCAAAACACAAGACGGACTGAATAAATTACCATGATATACATTATAGAGTACATAAATCATCGAAGAAGTACTTGCCTTGATTTTATTCCAAACCTATCAGTAAAACGCAACGTTTTAAAAATTTACGGTCTTGGTATTGGACCCAAGTTTCAAGCTACCTCTTGGTTATTCATACGTTGTGCCAAAATATCAATAATTTCAAATTTACCAAAACGCAGAAAAGCCTTACCGATCGTGGATAATTCATAGATCCCAGCCAGAAACAATCGTCTCTACCCGGACACCAACAAGCCCGTAATCCCGTCAACCAGCGTCCAGTTTGATTGTTGTGTTTCCACCTCGACACCGGCTGTTTCCCTCCGTCACCAGCTCCGAGTTTTAAAGTAGCCTCACTGTTGTAAATGCTCACGGTGTCAGCAAAGGAAACCGAAACAGCATATTTCCCCGTTCCACTAAAGGAAATGCCAGATACGGATCTCTTGTCATCATAAACAGACAGTACTGCCTTCTTCGCTTGTCGCATGTCTCCAAAGACGCAAGACCTGGAATAATTTACAAAACTCGTTCAATATAAGTTGAAGGAACACTTTTGTCAGAAAAAAAAGAAAACAAATCGCAGATGATAATTTTAAAGAAACACGTTGGACATCGCCAGTGAAAAAAGTGAACAATTCAGTCACGTCCGCGCAAAAAAAGTTATCACATATAAGTCAATCACTCCTTCCAATTGAAATATTTCAAAAAATACTGCATTAGAATTACCCCATAAAATGTTCATTTAATTACCATGCCCTCCCAGGTGAGCATTGCACTTTGGTTTTTCGACATAAAATGCGCCCAAAAATTCCATCAACGCGTAAGACCCACTAACCAGTTTTTGTGGCCTGAAAATCAAACTTCGCTTGTCAGAGAATAATTTATCACAGAACAACTTTGTAAATAAATTGAAGAACCCAAAGAATTGAATTAGGACTGATGCCAAGCATAATTTTCCCTTCCTTTTTCACCTGACAATAACGTACATCGATATGATTTGATGATTTCTTTCTTTTTTTTGAAAAATGTTTGCGCACAGATTTTCCAGAAAGAAATTTGCGCGTTTTACTCGCGTTAATACGGTACATTTCAATGTGAGGAATTTTTTGCTAACGTACTGCAGATTGAGCCTCTCAGGAGATACGGTACAGGAGTTTCGGGTTTCGACCATTGGCACCTTTCGTAAACTTTACATCAATAAAACAACTTATTTTCCATTACAGTACAACGCAACATTTCTCAATGACCTGCAATACGTGGAAGATGAATTCTCACAACATAAAAATACTGTACCACATTGTTCAATTACCAAGAGCAACACATAACGGATAAAAAAATTCTTATTCCCACAAATATCTCACCCAAACCGAGTTCCTAAGGCAAAGTAGTGTGGTTCAGTGGGATGGAGCGAAATACACTTCAGAGCCTCTTCCGAGCAATCAATCGTCATAGTTGGAGATTGCGGCGTTCGGGTATCAATTACAAGTAGGTCTCCATTACCCCTCGCCAAAACAAGAGAATTCGGATCCAGTATTCCCATGCCCGAGTACCATGACTCATCTTCAGTTTCTGCGTGCACCTTCAATGCAAATACAAAAAATAGATTGAATCGGAAATTGCTTCATGATACTGGGTATAATAGATGCATTACCACGTCAAACGAATCCCTGGTCATATCCAACATTCGAAAGACACCATCGTAGCCGCAGGAGAACAACTGTTTAGGTTTCCAGGGATTGAATGTCAGTCCACTGACGTTATTATTATGAATATGAAAGTCGAAGTTGTACATGTCATCTTCAGGTTTGAATATGCCTGGAATGGTACATTTTAATCAACATCCGTCATCGAAAATTTATGAAAGGAGCGGAATGAACGTACCAATGTAACCAAGTTTGTCCCCAATCGCTCCGAGGACTTCCTCTTCATCAGGGTGAATTGCAATAGACGTGATGCGGCTCTTGACAATTTTTCGCGAATAACTCGGAAACAACGAGAACATACGGAGCGCCTTCATATACCTCAAAACGGAAATTTCACAAAAAAAATTGCTTTCATTTCGGACATCGATTACTTGCGGGTACCCAAAAATAATTCCCTTCACCACGTTAAGCTCCGTCAAAAGGAACATTGTATTATAGTCAACTCACTCTTTCAGTATCAGGTTTACTCGGTAGGAAGGCTCTGGTGTGGTAGGAATACCGGAATCTTCGTGGAAATATTCCAGGTCAGCTAGACCCATGCCCAACTTTACTGATTCTGAATATAAATACGACGTCAATAAATCTCAAACCGTAAAATTTTTAAAGTGTTAATTAGCTTTTAAAAAAATCTTCATGGTGTGTTCTGACTGTTCGGTGAAATGATAAATTCTCAGATTACAAAATCTATACTTACTACGAATCCTGCAAAGCAATATGCAAAACCTCGGACTTCGATTTCTGCAGCATAGCATAAAAAAGAAGTATCGTAATTATTTTGATGGTCCACTAAGAGAAATGCTTTTCACGAAATCGAGATTTTCATGACAAAAGATCGAGAATTATCTAGGGCAACAATCCAAGTCGAACGGAAAAAAGCAACAATCGATTAAATAGATATTAAATAGATAGTTGTATATTGTACCTGTGTTGCGCTTAATCTTAGGCTCTTCGTAACGTTTCACATCCGGCAACGCTTCCTTCTCCTTGGGTTCGATAAAATTAAGTCTCGCGCTTCTCCTTGAGGGCATCTGTTCGAATACCTTCTCTCTTGGAAATAGAAAGGGATAATTAATGCAATAAAAAATTTCGTCGAACAGTCACACCATAGTCCGGGTACTATGGTCCATATTTAGGTCAATTTACTCACTTCACTTTGGGCAATCTCTTCGTCTTGATTTTAGGAGGACGTTCCGGTTCTTTTAGTTCGCCCACGTTCAACATCTTCAAGAATTCTTCTTTCGCTTTCAGGCTTTCCATGTGCAAGGCTTCAAAAGTACCCAGTTCAGGTTCAGAATCCTCATCGTCGTTTTCTGCTTCCTCTTCGAGTGTAGACTGTTTGAACGCACGTTTCCGCGAATAACTGCCATCTTCAGGGACATCCTTTTCACTCTCCGAACTCTCTTCGATGAAATCCTCCAAGCCCTTAATTTTTTTCGTAGCCTTTCTTGACTTCCCTTTCTTGTCTGATGTCTTTTTCGGATCCCATTCGTCACTCTCGTTGCTCGCTTCAGAACCTCGGCGTGACCTCTTGGCCGCTTTTGGCTTATTAGCGCGTTTCTGAGGAGATCCGGTTCCAAGGGATCTAGCTGATCTTCTCGGGGGCATTGGAACCACAAGTGGTCGTTTCTTCGCTATTTCGTCTGGTACTGCATTTCCATAGAATTCTACATCTGTAAGACTAACAAATACACATGTGAACGATTACGAAAATGAAAACAGTCCATGATCGTTCTTTACCCGGAACTCAAAGAGTTCACATCTGACGCCTGGTTTTCAGGTGATTTTTTTTCGTTTTTGAGCTTCACAGAGCTCAGCTTGATCATGGGCGCTTTCAACATCGTTTGCCGGACTAAAAAGAAATCAAGAAAAGATGACAGCCGTTGCGCAGAACATATTAAAAATGCAAATAATAAAAAAACAATGGTTGAAGAACTTTGTTGTCACTGCGATAATTCCAATAAAAAAATAAAAAGCATAACAAATTCTCTAGAAACGGGGATCACTCAGGATTCGACGGAACATCGACTTGCAAACCATTCAACTCTCCCGCCATTTTCTCCACTTCTGAAGAATTTCCCCGAGATTGAATTCTTTGAAAAACGTCCCCACTGATGAAGCGGACACATTGACTTAATTCCATGAGTTTCGAACTGGGAAGAGATAGAACACGACATTACGAGATTAAAATATGGTTACTATGGTATCACTCACGCTATTTCGACACTTGAATCACCAACAGCTTTGGAAAAATTCCCAATAGCTTCGGTCAAGGCACAAAGACTCGAGGCCAACCCGTAAAAATCAGAGAACTTCCAGAATGGCCCCTCACAGAGAAGTTTCAAAGAATCCACAGCAACTTGAAGCTGTATTAAATCATTTTCATCTCTACGATCTACTTGCAGTCCGCACTGACGAATAAAACCAGCAAGAACTTTGCTCAATTCGTCACTGGGCACAAAATCTGCAAAAATAAAAAAAAATAATTGGGATTAATCATGCACAAAACGATTATCAACACGGGAAAACTTACTCAGATTATGACCAATGCGCATGCCGTACGAAACTACTGTCGCTAGAATTATCATGGCATCAACACCAGCAAGCCACGAATCTCTGGCACAGGCGTTCATTGGATCAGAAACTTTCAACTGATTCATGGCTTCCATGACTGACACGAAATTGCCTGGAAAAGGGAATGAACAGATGAGTACGCGGAAAATCAAGGTACGAAATAAAAAACCAGAAATATTGCAATATTTGACAGAAGACCAACTGAAGCATTGAATTAATTCAAGACAATTGAAAGATTAATCTACAGCCCATGAAACCAATCCAGTATCAACGGAAAGGTTGGCAATACGAACAGTTCAAGATTCGAACTGCCTTTGAGCGGAATAAGGATGTTTTTAACGTGCCTTACCCCACTACACGGTTGAATAAGTCCCACTTCGGCGAAATCAAACTTACCAGGATCAGAAAAGCTCACAACAAACGGCGCCGTATCATTGACTTCTAAGGATATGATTCTCGTAAGGAATCTCAACGTTTGGCACAAGACATCATCTGAAATTCAAAGACATCATATATCGCAGCCTTAGTGAATACAGTCCTAATTCAATATTATATTTACCCATGACGGAACTTCCTAGGATAAACGCCAAAACGTTCGGGGCGTTCGTCGAACCCAAAATATTCCGCACCAAACAGCATACGTGTTCGTAACCCTTTTGTTCCTGGTCTACAAAATCAGCGTACATATCGTAATACAGACTATTCAGTACCCTAAGTCCTTCATAGACAATTCGTGAGTCACTTGAGAAAAGTACACCAAGCACACGTTCGACAAGATTCATGTCATCTAGCAGTATGTGCCGACGTAGACTCGGGGAGACTGACAGCGCATTTGCAAGAATCCCAAGGGCGATTTCCTAACAAAAATCACGAGAATAACATGATCCACGAAAGAATGCCACTCAAAATTTCAAACAGACTTACCTTCAAGCGAGGAGATTTGCTGACTTCCAAAGTCTGCGACACGATTAATAACAACTCGTTCTCTATAAGCATTTTCGCTACTTCGGCTTCAAAAGTCATATCCCACAGCTGGCAGAGTTTATCTTCCAGGCATGGATCAATTTCAACATCGCCATCACCGGCAGAATCCACGTAATTTTCTTTCAAGCTCTGCAAAAGTCATCTAGTTGTAATACCGCAATATTCCCGTGAAAAAAGCTCCCCCACTCACATTCATCCAATCCAATAGAACTGTGCATATGAACGATTGACTGTATAACGTGTCCCCCACAACGACATCAGAAACACTTAGATTCAATGGAGGAGAAGGATTTCGCCGACTATAATCCATTTCGATTCAATTAAAGCTTCTGCTTCCGCCGAACTGCCTTCCGCGGGCTGCAACTGAAGGACGCAGCAGGTCTGCGATTGATTGAGAGCACCAGATGGTATCACACGAACGTACAGTTCGGGTGGGTTAATTGGCATGAAAGAACCCACATGCTGGTTATTGCGACATTTCCCGTGGCCAAGTTCTACGAGTTATTTTGCGGTTTTCACAATTGATTCAAAGTAGTTCATGCATTCTATATACATCAGTTACGTCAAGGGTAATTCCAATGGTGCATTCGATCTTGATCCACCGGCATGCATTTCCGAGAACTACTCTTCTATACGAATTAGTGCTCCGAGGACCGTGGCAAAATTAATGAACAGGACGCATTTATCCATGTTGAACGAAGCTCTCTTTATTTCCAACTCCCATTAGCACAACCTAATCGTTTCACAGTACTTTCACAGATCAAATGAATCAAACCGAGTTTTTCATACCGGCAAAAGCAATTCGAACCACTCACAATTTTTCCCAGCATCACATCCGATATCATCCAGCGCTTTCGGAATAACAGTTTTTCCAGAGCCAATACGGCACATCCCAGACAAATACATCCATTTGAATCACATCGTATAGTAAATTCGATCAACGATAAGCAACTCTTCTATCCAGTTCGAAGCAGACCAATACGGAAAAAAAATTTTCTCATTCCATAAAGAAGGCACAAGCAGATTTGCAGGAGAATTCGTTATATACAAGACACTTAAATACGATGGGAAAGATCATTCATGGGCAATTTTCTTTCCAAGTCGTGCTTTTTTTTTCGACGACGCCAGCAGACTGTACAACTCTTGCAGGAATTCAGCATTTCGCGGAGGGTCAGAAAACTGAGCAGCGCGACGATAGCACGAAAGGCAGCTTGAACGCAATTTCAGGACTTTCTTCAGAGTTGGAACTGACAACACTTCCGCAATTTTCAACTCGGAAGATTCCCACACAGTCGGGAAATGACCGGATTCCAAGCAAGACTCAAGCTTCGAAAGCATCTGTGAAAAATCATAATTGTTTCCCTTTCCTGTTCAGTGATTCTTACAACGAAACGCGACAGAAATTGATACAAGTGACCATATTCAAGCTTAAACTCAAACGCAAGACAGGTTATGCTGCGAATGGTTAGAAAGTTTCGCAAATACTTCGAAAGGAAGTTTAATATTCAAAACTCCCAGAACTGCACTAAGGTCAATAGCAAGACTTGAATCAAGCCTCTCTCACTTCGTAGACTTTTTATTTTCGATACCAGTCCTGACTTGGGCAACTCCTTGCTTACCAACTTACTCTTCTCAAAAAATATAAGCCATGTGCAGAGAAATCAATAAACGTACCATGATGAAAAGGCTTGCGCAATCCGCGAAATTCCAGAACTCGAACTCGTTATGAAGCAAGACTTCGTCGATGAACATGTTCTTTAATGCAGACAACGGCAACTTCCAACCTTCTGTCTCGTTCAGGTCGTAAAATAAACGCAGAAGCGGTTTGCAGCACTGGGTGTCGTGAAATATCTCCCGTTCTCCAGCAGGTGCAACGATGGTCCAGTGAGTCTGACGTTTGGCAGATTGACCTTGAACTGCCATCACACGTTCAGGTACCATGTACCATTCCGAATCAAGGACCTGGAATTAAAAAATAATCATTACCTTCTAAGGAATTTCAGTACAACCCTCACAAATCAATTCTAATACCCAACCAACCGGTCGCAGCACCAACTCGAAATGAAATAACGAAACCTGACGCTCATCATTTAAAAATAAAAAAGGGATGCACCGATATGTGAAACTACGGCTGAGCAACATAGATTAGGTTAATTTTCGAAGTTGTTAATAAAGAAGGGTGTCATTATGCATGCACTTGAAAGGGAAGGTGTCTCTTCGACATAAATAAAATTATTTTTCCAGACGGTTCTGGACTTGAATTGATTCTCCGTTGAAAAAGGGATGGTGCTACATGAAGGACTCAAGGGAAGAAAATTGTGAAGCGCTGAAAAAGTGTAACACAATAGGGTCATGGGGACCAATAAAAACCAATTTCATCATAACTACAATTTACAAACACTAACCTCGATATTACTCAATTTTAAACTTAACGATGTCCACCCGTACTTATTCCTTACTATCTGCTCGATTCATAACTAAAAAATCAGGTTGAGATAAAAAAGATTCCCTAAACGTCCTCAAAGAGAAATTTTAAAAATGAGAATACGTACTTTGCTGAGATACTTTAGGTCAACGGTGCAAGCCGGCAGACGAGTCAAAGACGGAAACATGAAGCACGGCTTTAGCTTCACGCTGAACTCAACGTCTTCATCCGTGATCTTCAAGACGAAAGTTCCATCAACCGTACTTCCTCTGACCTGTAAGAGTTACATAGCCTGAGTCTCACAGAAACAAGCCAATTACTTAGCATTATTTCTAAGAAGAAAAAATCAATCACAAATCTTCTTACCTTCATTCCCGGAGGCAAGACACAGTTTTGTGATGAGTGCTGCGCAAGACCATTGAACCAATCCAGAACTTTCGATGGAAGAACAAATCCACGATCACCCAGAAATTCCATGCAGCTTAGAGCATCAGCGAACGAATCCGGCCTAATCATTCGCAGTTTTGGAGAACCCGATGCAATGGTGTCCATAGGCATCAAATTCGGCGAATGCCAGAGAACTAGTAGAACCTCGTAATCTCTTCCAAGTTCAACTTGATCAAAAAATGAACCCCCCAAAAATGCTTTTACGAAATGGTCCTCGAAGAAGTTATCCTTAACCATCTCTCGAAGAAAATTCATCGACTGAAAAAGAAAAAAAAAATATTCAAAAGTTTCTTGATTTATTTAATCAACAATGAATAAATAAAATATTCAACATACCAGACGGTTGAAGATTATCTTGTCCCTTTTAACTTCCTTTCTGGAAGGGACGGAACGCTCTGTAATAGCTCGCGATATCGGCGCATTGATCAAGTGATAGTCTTCTTCTTCGGAACCCTGGGAAAATACAAAATAGCTTTTGATCAAGTGATTCACGAGGTCAACATCCAAGTCAACAACCATCGGAGGAAGAGTTTTCAGGCGTTCAAGCATCGCTTCAGCAGCAGTGATTTTCGATTTCCTCTTCCCGTTCACTCCAGCAGCTTCACCATACGTAACGAAATGCTTCACACGACAACGAGTGATGAACAGAGGGCCGGTTGAGCGACGCACGACACGGACGTCATACTTCACGGGTGGTAACATTTCTCGAGCTAGAGACATCAACTTTCCCCATGACGACTTTGCACGAGGTCGATCTTGCTCATCCTTCGTTTCTTCGACGCTCGAATCATGAACTTGCTGTGAATTACTTGATGGCGAGTGAGGATTTTCAGACGCGTACCCGGATTCGCAGTGATGGCTCAACTTGCTCAGCATTTCGTTGATGGCAGATAAACGAGCTTCCTACGAGAAAAAATGTATTTCTGTTTCTAGCTCTGCAGCATGCAAGGAAGATCACAAGAGCTCAACACATGGCGCACCGGGGATAAAATTACGCAATCAAACTCACTTTCGGTTTTCCGCGGGCTTCAACAATCTTATTGCCGACAATGCAAAGCGCAACAATAGAATCCGCATCTTGTTTGTACAACAGCAGCTTCACGGGCGGCAACCGCTTCATGGTAACTTCATTCAGCAGAACCACAGCATCCTTCGGTTCTCCGCTTCGCGTGCGAGTCGGAATACCTGACGAATAAAGGCTGCTTTGTTCAGAGAAACCTATTTAAGTCTTGGAAAAGCGACACATACCAAAGATCTTTCTCTCAGTATCATCACGGCGGGCATCCGGTCGAAGCTCGCTGCGATGAGCATTCGATTGTTTACCCGTCTCATCACTTTCGATTACCGCACCACGAGTAGACATTTCAATTCTAATAGTATTTTACAGCATAAATTGAGCCTGAAAAATCAAAAAATTTGCTGGAATTATCGATGCACTCAACTCGATACTTCCGCACACACTCGATAATCACACACCGGATCGTGCGACGTCGCGTTCAAAGTTGGCGCATTCCAGGAAGAAACACAGGCAACTACAGTACAGGCATTAAAGAGTTTATCCTGTCTCCGATGCACACATCGGTGGTGGACTCATCACAATACATCACATTTTCTGACGGCATAGTGAAATTTAATTAAATCTTCAGTTTAAAGTCTGAAGCATGATTGGCTCTGGGTCGTAATGCGTCCTGAAAAAGGAGGTGCACGTCGAACAGTTCTCATCACTCGCTCCAGGAATGAACGTATCGACCGTACTGTAGATGCAGTACATGCGTGTCGTCAACTCATCATGGTAGTTCGCTCTATTCGAACAACCTGAAAAATCTTGAAGCATTGTAACTGTATACTGAATGAATGTGACCGTTTAAAACTTGAATCAATCACATCACAATACATGCGTGGATAAACAAACAAACGGCATTCAAACATCAACAATGTGATGATTTTCGCGTGAAATAAAAGTGAGGGAACACTTCGAATAATTACATTTCGAAGTAATCCGTGATTAATTCTGTTTATCTCATTTCCTATAAGTCTACAGGACTGCAGCTGAACTACAGTACATCTATTCCTTACCCAACAGTCAAGTGACCTGACCTATCCACCGAAATGGTTGAGAAAATGGACAAATCTCGAGTGTTTTCATGGTTACATCTGCTCTGTGATACTGGTAACAGCTGGTCGTGAGACCCCATCTCGCCGGAGCTGAACTCTTCTTTGTCAAAACTCTTGTCCGCTTCGCCACTCCCTCGCGCCCACGCACCCAACACACTCTCTCATCAAACACTGCGTAGACGGTAGAGTTCCCCGGCGAAGAGTTCTGCTCCGGCGAGAAAGGGGTCCACCACAGCTGGTTAGTTTGTTTGGTGGACCTCTCCTGGCGGTGGAGGAGGAAGTTATCACGACCTAAACTCTGAATCTAACTTCCTCCAGCAGTTGGTGTTCGCTGTGTTTATGATTCATCGGTATTATAGCATTTTCTATTTCCACCTGAAGGTCATTTTCGAAATTTGGAAGTCTTACTCTGTGTAGAGGTATTCAGACTAGGGAATTTTTATGCCAACCCGCGAGAGAGAGGCTGTGATTGTGCTCTGAAGTATCGTTCAATATCAATATGTGGTTCAACGGTGGAGTTACGGATGCGGTGAAAGAATCAGTCACGCGGGAAGCAGTCTTCGTTGTCTACGTGTATGGTAAGCTTGTTGAGAAAATTTGATGCATTCATGGTGTACAATTTTTAAAGTCCTCCGACATAGCTATTTTTATAATTTTTGTATTTGCACAACGAACAGTTTCATACGCATTATTGCGTGTATCTCACGAATGATGAATTTACTGCTGCTTTAAAGATGCCGAAGAGGAATCCTCGACCATGACGAAGGTTGTCGAATCTTCAGAGACCAACTCTTTATTGGGAACCGATGGTGGAAAATTCGTTTGCATTAAGGTTTCTCGTGGAACCGACGAATTCACGCAATTCGGTCAAATTTGTGAGTACAGGACAGCTTATTTTTTCTGGTTTTCTCCCGCTTTCATTCAATAGATGTGAATTGAGTGTTTATCTGATATCACGACGCCAAGATGTTATTTTTTTGCAACAGTTTTTCGTTTTTATTCACGTGATTTTTTCCTGTTGCAGATCCGATCGTTAAAACACCGTGCGTTTATTTCATCGGGAAGAATGGAGTTCCGCTGAGTATCGTAAGTGGCGTTGTTTCGCAAGATCAGTTCCTCTCGACAATTCAGGAAGTTACTGCTAAACATACTGGAGTTTCGACCCCTGTGGAAACCCCGGTGACTGAAACTGCAAGTGGCGTTACACGCGTTTCCTCTGGTGCTGTGAGTAATACTCTATTGAGCGAATGCATGTGGCGAAACGGTATTAAGCTCGAGCAGAAAATTTCTTGAAAAATCTTTTACTGACCAGCCGTAACTTCTGACTGAAACCGAGTCACCATCTCGAAAGTATTGGACCGACGATCGTTCATCTCAAAAATTTTTTCTTCTTGCGAATTAGGAATCGTCCGAATCCTCCGTCCGAGAAAACTTAGCGGATACTAATGCAGCTCAAGAAGGTGCGACCAGTGCTTCTGCTGTATCTGATCCAGAAAAGCTCAATCGAGTTCAGGAACTCCTTGAAAAACGGAGGGCGGAGAAGGAACAAGAGATGATCCAGAAAGAGAAAGAACAAGAAATGGAGCGCCGGCGTGTGGGTCAAGAATTGCAGAAATTCAAGGATTGGCAAAGTGATGAAGAGCGTCGCAAAATCGCAGCCGAGCGAAAACGCGATAGGCAGGAAGAAATTAATGCCCGGGAGCGCGTTTTAGCTCAAATTGAACAAGACAGGTAAAAGAAAAACTGTATTCGTGCATATTTTTTGTCTTCTCTTGTAGGAATGCAGCTAATAGTTATTTTTTCAGAAAAGAGCGAGCTGCCCGATTTAACCAAGTGAGAGCTGACGAAACCAAGCAGGAGGATGAGGAAAAGCAACGAATTTTGACTGAGGAACGCGTCAAACGAGAAGCGGAATTGGCTGAACAGAGGTAACGTTTTTTGTTCAAGAAATACTGCTGTGCAAGGATTATTCATTTGTGTTCTGTTCCCCCGTAAATATTGTTGTGTAGACTTCGTAGATACGTTTTTTCACATAATATTTTTTTTTTTTTTTTTCGTTTTTCAGTCTTCCAGAAAAGAAGAAAAATAAAATTAATTTAGTTATTGAAGAAATCGCTGCTATGGGGAATTTTTCCAAGATTTTCCACAAGTGTTTTCGTTCCCAAACCGAGAGAGTAACACTTCTCACATCATTCTTATTTCGAATATGTGAAGTATTTTGTTGTTCGAAAAAATAATTAATGGAATGGAAAATGTTGAAGTCCTTTTGAACTCAACAGTGCTCTTCCTCCTATTGGAAACCCGAACACAGCGGCTTTTCACCAGACGGGTGTCTGATATACCCCAGGCAATTGAATGAATCACGAAAAAAAGAAACTACTGTATAATATTTAATGGAAAATTCCTTGAGCCCTATGTAACCATATTTTTCGACAAGTGCTACGAGATGTTGCTTTAAGCTCCTAAGTCTTTTTTTAATCAACGTCTCTCTTAAAACAACATATCGCAGGTGATGAGATGTTGCTTTAAGTACCCAAGTCTTTTTTAATCAACGTCTTTCTTAAAGATTGTAGAGCATTTTTTCTTTCATGTATGAGAGTTTTTACTGACATTTCATCATATTATTATTTTGGACGTAAATTTTTGTCTAATTGAAATAAATGACGAAATTCACGGGACCAGGGAAAAATTAGTTGGAGAGAATTTCATTGTAGAGAAACCGTATAACATGGAAGAAAACCCTCACGACACCGGAAAAAATTTGTTTATTCAGAAAAAAATCGTTCCAGATAAGATTGTTGTTGTAGGAAACAATTCCCTACGTCCTATGATACGCAGAGTACCGAAGGAAATTTGATGCACACAAAAGTGCACACCACGTGATCACCGGGAATTCCGGTGATCACGTGATAATCAGCACAGCACTCTCTTTTCCGCACCCGGTTTGAATGGTGCAATCCTCTTCCTCCTGCAACCCTTTTTTCCTCTGATCTACACAGTCTCTCAGATGCTTTCATTGCATTAAGATGTCTATAAGAATTGCTGTCTGAAATATTTGTGATTGATACTTATTTACCTTTATGTGAAATGCATTTATTCTTGTCTTTTGGGATTCTACTGAGAATCCCCTGCCCTGTTCCCGGGCGGATTGTTTGTTCTCATTTATTTATTGATTCAATATTCATTCTTTGTGGGCTTCTGCCCTACACAACATCTCGCTCAAGTGGTTATAATTTTAAAGAAAGAAAGCTTGGAGATCGCTTTTGAGCTCCTAGGTCAAGGCCAACGGGCTACCAAGCAGACGGCACGTCAGGAAGGGACGGCTGAGCGGCAAAGCGGAAGTGCGTGCCCACGTCCGCACCCAGGTTGTACCCAAGAACCCGAGCCTACGCGATAAGTTCAAGTTGTGCACCCTGTACCCGCGTCGAACTTTTGATGAGCAGAGTGACGGGGAAACCCTGCGGGCTCTTCAACTGGCACCGACTGCAGTCTTGCTTGTTCTACCGGTGAGTCCTCCAGTGCCGGCCCTCGATGACTCGGAACCCGGGCCGGAGAATCGCGCGGCGACCGGGCGAATCGTTATCGTGAGTGTGCCTTTGAATTAGGTTGTACAGTACGACAGTGGAACCACGTTTTCCGGACATCGACTGGTTGGTTCTCTTGTCCGGAAAATGTGTTGTGTCCAGATTCCCCCATAAATCGAAGTGAAAAAAAAAAAATATACGGAAATTTCATCCACTACGCACGGAATTAAAGAAGATGTCTGAAAGTCGAGAGGTTCTTTGTTCTGTTTTGAAAATGTCTGAAACTCTATTGTACGTTTGTCGGTGTCTGCGATACCAATTCGATCTGCCGAATTCACTGAATTAAAAAATTATTTCCATGATCAGTACAGTACTATATATCTTCGAATATCAAGTTCTCTCGAGTAAGAAGTGCACCCGGATTTTTCAGCCTAAAATTGTAATAAAGCACTATCCCTGTGTATAAGACGCGCAGCTCATTTTTACTGACTCTAAAACTGAAAAATTTGAGAAAGTAATCAAGTTCTCTCGAGTAAGAAGTGCACCCGGATTTTTCAGCCTAAAATTGTAATAAAGCACTATCCCTGTGTATAAGACGCGCAGCTCATTTTTACTGACTCTAAAACTGAAAAATTTGAGAAAGTAAAACACACAAGAGTTATAATTTAGACGTGAATGAAACATGAATTCTATCAATTATTCAAGGTTTCCTTCAAAATGTTTAAATTGATAAAAAAATCACATTAGAGTAAAATGTAAGGCGCACCTGAAGTTTTCAACGTTTTTGAAGATTTTATATTGACGCACGAAATTAAGCCTTATTTTTCCCTCTCTATTTAAAAAAATGCGCGTGGTACTCAAGTAAGTAAAGTACAGTAGATTCTCTCCGCAGTGTGCTACTCGACGGAGTCAACGCCATATTCATTGTGTATAGATAATCAGACAACGTACTGTATTTCCATAGGTGCTGACATATTTTGCATGTACACAGATTTGCATGGTGCAGAATAAATTATTTCAAGTGGATTATTTATGTAAAATATACTGTGAGGCATGACATAAAATTACTGTTGAACTAAGAAAGATCCGCAGTTTTCATCAGAATTTTGAGATGAATTTCGGGTTTTCGTGATCACCGTATTCAAGTTCTCTCGAGTAAGAAGTGCACCCGGATTTTTCAGCCTAAAATTGTAATAAAGCACTATCCCTGTGTATAAGACGCGCAGCTCATTTTTACTGACTCTAAAACTGAAAAATTTGAGAAAGTAAGACACACAAGAGTTATAATTTAGACGTGAATGAAACATGAATTCTATAAATTATTCAAGGTTTCCTTCAAAATGTTGAAATTGATAAAAAAAATCACAGAGTAAAATGTAAGGCGCACCTGAAGTTTTCAACGTTTTTGAAGATTTTTTATTGACGCACTAAATTAAGCCTTATTTTTCCCTCTCTATTTGAAAAAATGCGCGTGGTACTCAAGTAAGTAAAGTACAGTAGATTCTCTCCGCAGTGTGCTACTCGACGGAGTCAATGCCATATTCATTGTGTATAGATAATCAGACAACGTATTTCCATAGGTGCTGACAATATTTTGCATGTACACAGATTTGCATGGTGCAGAATAAATGATTTCAAGTGGATTATTTATGTAAAATATACTGTGAGGCATGACATAAAATTACTGTTGAACTAAGAAAGATCCGCAGTTTTCATCAGAATTTTGAGATGAATTTCGGGTTTTCGTGATCACCGTATACAGTTTCTAGTGCATTTTCACAAAATTATGGAAAATGCGAGTTGATCACTGCGAAGCTACTCGAGATAGTGCGTAAATGTATGAACCCTCGTGTATGTAAGATAATTTTAAAGACTGAGTCACTACAGTACAGTAATGAGTATTGAAATCATATCCTTTGGTTGTTGTTCTTTCTTATGTCTTGGGTGAAGGTGAAGTCGGCGGCTGATGCAGAGGTTGGTTGTCCGACGCAATAAAAAAAAAATGCTACGAGGAATCTCTTCTGAGCGTTTTTACTCCAGTGTTATTTTGACGAAAGGGAATCGCTGCTGACGAATTTTTCTTCCGGTTATTCCACTTTACTCCATTATCGTTTTTGAAATGAATCTATTCTTCACCCTCGTAAATGTTCTGAATTATCATGTGCATTGGAAGTGAGATCAGGTTTTAGAAAAAATGGTTTATTTTATGTTCTCAGTCATTATTTTTTCGTTGCGAATTACGTATAATACTCGAGAACCTTCGAAGTGCGTGTAGAAGTCTAGTTTTTTTTATGTGCTTTGCGTTCTCTAATTCAGCCATGTTATATTTTTCAGAATAACCGGAGTAATCAGAGCTCGCCGATAAGTGGCGTGGGACGAACTAAGAGTGATGTGGTTGCATCTACTGGATCCGGCGTGACGAAGATATTTTGGTGGGCTGTTCAACCGATTCTGACCATTTTTGAGTATGTCTCCTTCTTCATATTTGGGACCCCGACGAACGCGAGATCTTGGGGAAGAACGGACTCGAATTCGACTGTCTCGCCACGAAATTCTGCTGAAGAATCGCGTGTTTCTGCGGGAGGGTGAGGTCATTTTTATTGTGGATTTTGCGATTTTTGGCGAAAATACGAAGAAAAATGATCATGTGAATGCATTTGAAAATGATCACTTACTAGTGTTAGCTCCTGATGGCAAAGCAAATTGTCATTTAGTTTTCGCCGATTGAAAGTTTAAATCTTTAATTTTGTTGGTGGTGAAATTTTCTTGCTTTTCGATGTGAAAGCGATTTTATTCTATTCAAAATCCTTCCTTCACAGACTTCTAGATATGAATTTCGTATTTGTAATTTTTTGCCAGGCAATATCATGGTGAAGTTTACACCAAGGCTTTTCGTCTTTTTGTTAATCGTGGCTTTCAAATAGTCCCGAAAAATTTGTATTTGCGTTTGCTTTTGACTTTTTTGACCGAGAAACGATCCTTTTTTCCACATCAACGTCCTCAGTTTAAGGCATAATTCTCAAGATGAGAATATTAACCTGATACACCTGTCAGAATTTCTTCGATACTATTTTTCATAAATTAAAGAAAGAGAACTGAGAAAACTACAGAAAGAATCAGTAAATATTCCAAGTTTTATCCCACTGAACACCCCACTTTCCTGACTGGGGTAATTTTTCCGTTACGTAAGGGTTGCTGATGTTGATGCACCTTCATAGGATACATTTTAATATTTTTAGGTGTTATTCAGGTTATACTACGTTTACTTATGTTAATTTTCATTCTGGGGGGTCATTTTTGTGAGGTCAGGTGACGCTCGCGCGGTACAGTATTACAGAAAGCCATGTTTGCTATAAGTGAAAAAAAACGGAATAACTTTCCGAGCAGTTGTTTTAAGTATCTTTTTTGTCGGATTTAGCTGATTTCGTTTGAATTAATCTCATGGATAACCATTCATTCATGCGTAGATCTGATTCCGCTGCTGGAATTAGAAGGAGAAACATCCCATCGCAAGGACGAGTTTTGAGGCAAGAGGGAAATATTAGAAAGTTTGCGAATCCTGGCGACGTGAGTGCCGATGATGGAGACGGTAAAGATGACGACGGAACCTGGAATGGAAATTCCACGCAACAGCTCTGAAATTCAGGCGAACGACGTGTGTTGGTTTTTCTTTTTCTTTCATGCGGTATATTTTCATGCTGCGTTTTTGATTCGCTCCCTTTTCTCTTGGATGGCATAAAGGGATTCTCGTGGATTTTTTATGACATTCCTCGTTTTCATTTGATTGCATAGCTGTAGTCTTATTTTGTTGGGGCAACGAGTGGGGAGTTTATGCCGGTTGGTTGGTGTGCGATTAAAATATATACGCAATATTAGCTGTGTCGGTTTGCATCATTGTTTTTCTCTTGGTGCGATTAATTCGCTGAAGAGAAAAGGTGCTGCTTTTTTTTTGAGAAAATTTAGCAGGTCTTTTATCCATTGTCTGAAATCGGCATATTTTTGGAGATATTGGTCAAGTTGTTGTTGCGAGAAAATGATCTGCAAATGTTTCTACGGCCGACTCGTAAACACTAGTTCGGTTGTGATTCGCATATACGGAACTGAGCATCTGATCAAAGGCTAATTGAATGTAACGAACTCATGAAATTATAACTTTCAATTCGTTATTTTTTACGCCTGTTTATTCAGTTGAGAAATGAGTGATACCGTTTTGGTTCACGAACTGGACCTCGTGACGTTGATCGATTCCAAGAATTGTGAACGCGCGTTTGAGCTTTTTCGTGAATCGCACGAAGGAAACGATGGACCATGGAAGCTAGTCTTGTACTCGTCATCCGACGAAGCATTGCTGCCAGTGGAATCAGAACCCAAGGAAAGTGCAGCGGAAAAGGCTGTTGTTGAACCCCTTTCGAAAGTGAGTCCTCGACACGTTTCCATCGCATAATCTTCTCCCTGCATTCAATGAACATCCATTTTTAATTGAAGTAAATTTTTCATCAATGAGCGAGACATGTATAAAATTCCGGAGATTATAACGGCTGATGTTTGATTGGAAGTTGCTGCATTTGGTTTTCATCGATATTACGCAATAATATATTTAGCTTTCACTCGTGCCTAAAGTCACTAAACGTAACCTGCCAGAATTCTTAATTTTTTAAAAGTACAATTTTGTTTTTCGACTGCGAATGTGACTTTTCCTGTTTCTTGTGACCACGAAAATTGTAATGAAGCGTGCAAACCTAAATGTAAAGTAATACCTGGAAAATAATCAATTGAAAGAAAATTAAAGCGTCTGAGTCTTCATTCAGCTATTAACAATATTGCTGTGAGAAAATCGATCTGGGATTTCTCTTTTTTGTTGTTGGGAACGTATTTAAACCACTCAGAAAAATGGCAGGTTTTAGTGAAGTTTCCAGTGATTTTAGGTTGAACAAGAAATTATTTTTGCCCGGCTACATGCATGAGTCATTTTTAAAGGCGCGTATAAATGGGACAGCCTTGTACATAAAATCCTTTGTTTTGAATGGAAGCACACGGCAAGGTTCTCTCCTGAGTTTTTCTCGTTTTTTTCTTCGATTTTGTGCTGTTCACAATACAGGTAATAGGATTAGACGTTATTCGAATGAGAGTTAATACTCTCGAGTTTTTATTTTCTGAGATGTCGAAAATCTTTCGGGAGAGACTGCAATTTAAAAAAGCCTATACAATGTATTCTTTCCTGTTGTATCCGGCTTACATTTTTAAATAGTGTGTAAATTCATTGTTAATTTTTAGGGATCGAAAGGAAAAGTGAAATGCTCCAGTTGCAGTAAAACCTTCTCACGACATGTGGATCTTTGGCGACATGTTCGGACGAAGCACAAGGAGCCCAGTCATTTACTGGACGTCTTTTCGTCCGCCTTCGTGTGCTTGCAATGCAACGAAACTTTCGCCTCTGCACACAACCTGCGATTGCACGAACATTTCCACGAATTGGAAAAAATGGAAACAGTTTCGTTGCTTGTGTCTGACGCGAATTCCGAGGGCTGTGTACAAAAAAAGCTCAAGTGTCCCGAGTGTTCAGTGTCGTTTTCCCGACTCGCGGGGCTTCGCAGTCACGTGATCACCAAACATTTGGAGGACGAAGTGTTCAAGTGCAAGTTGTGTGGAAAGGAGTTCGAAAAGTCCGAACAAATTAAGGTTAGTTCATTATGTATTTCGATTTGTCGATCAGTTGATGATGAATGCATTAATCTAGACTGCGTGTCACGACAGTTTTCGTTCATTTCGTGATCCGAGTTGTTTTCAGTGCCGAAGGTTTCCTTATTTTCGACAGGATCATCTTCTGAAACACAGTAAGAAAGAAACTAAAGAAATCCCCGCGAAGCCGGTCGTAGATTACAAGAAGAGACAGGAAATTCGAGTCGCGCGGAAAAAGTTCAACGCCATTTTCTCACACAAGAAACGGGGCCGGAAAAAAGGGAAGCGATTGGATCAAGATGTCGATACTGCAGAAGCTCTTTCTATCCCAGCAAAAGCGAGTTCCATTTGTCCTATCTGCAGAAAGGTTTTCAAAAAAGGTAGTCTCATGGCTCGTCACATGCGGTGTCACACCGGAGAGCGCCCTTTTCGGTGAGTGCTAAATTCATTAGACGAATTTGACCGATTTGCCAAAAATTGATTCTATGGAAGGAAACTAATCGACCGTACAGTGTTAATATTCATTAATTTAATTATATTTTATGAAATTACTAACTATTTTAAGCAGACATGATCGAAATCCTTGAAGCCCCTTTTTAGAGAAAAAAACAGGGACTCTGCGAGTGCTCAAATAAAGTAAAATTGTGAAGTTAGAAAAAAGGAGTAATGGAAGTTGAGTATAAAATAAAGAAATTGGCAATTGTAAATGTTTCCATAAGTTCAAATACTTGGGCCTTTGAAAAATGAAAGGGCTTTATTTGTCTGCATCTCGAGGATGCACCTGGTACAGTATATTAATTCTTCAGGGGCTCTCCCAACTAATTCGATCATAGAAAGCGAGTTCAGAATATTCTAATGATTCAAGCGACACCTTTTGTGCCTTTCCAAGAGCTACATCCTGCATTACATTCAAAAGGGCTAAAAAAAAGTCTCCTGAATGAATGAATTTAGAAAGTGTAACAGAAGAAAAGTGTAACCGGTTTTCTAAATTGTTCCGTGTTGAGCAAAAAAAAAATGATCCTTCTCTTTTTTTTTTACGAGAGAATCGTAAGTATTTATAATTAAATGTTTTTATTTATTTATGCAGTTGTCCGAAATGCGATAAAGGCTTTGCTCAGAAAACCTGTTTGGGTCGTCACATGCGATTGCACGAAAAAGAGAAGCCGTTTGCGTGTCTATTTTGTCCATACCGTGCCGCGATGAAGGCCAATTTAAAGCTGCACATCCGGAGGCTGCATTGGGATCAACTTGGGGACCGGAAACTGGGTGCCCTGGCGAGTTCTCGGACTCCGGAAGCAGGCGGGGAGATTCGTTGCCCGCTTTGTCCCTGTGTTTTCCAGCGTCGAGGATGCTTGAAGGTTTGTAAAGCTGTGTATCTGCAGTACATTTAAAAATTCCATATTCGAAAGAAAAAATAGAGAAAAACCTGACGAACTGCGGGTTCCAACTTCAGCAAATTTTAGTTACATTTGATAAAGACTACGAAGAGTAAAGGTCTCTGTTGGTACGATAGTGAAGACAAGAGTATTTGGTATCCTCTTTTTTGTATAATCGGCTTTATTGAGAACAGACAGGAAAGAAACCAGTAAAAAATCTCTGCAGTTATCGCTGAAATTTACTGGAATGTTTCTTGAACCTTGAAAACACGCATATCCATTCGAAGTTCATAATGTAGGATAAGTTGCGAAAAATAAGTAGATTAAGTCAGATTATCTTCACCTTAACTCCGTCACGAAATTCTCAACTTGGTGGTTTTCTTCAGAATAGAAAAAAAAACGGTATTGCGTTTATTTCGTTACTTGCCATTGTCAGAATTATGCTTGGTTGTGGTGTCGTCAGGTTTACATGGCTTTTCAATTGAATTAGATTTGTCTGGTGAACCCCTGATTTGTGATGAGCCAAAAATACTGTAACTCGGTGCGAAGATAATTTTTCTGCAGAGGAGCTTCTTGAAAAATGATGGACTGTACGCCGGGGGGAGGTGATGATTCTTTGAAAAGGGAATATCGCAAGCGTAAACATTATTTTGAAGCGAGTCCACCTGTTTCATTTTCCGGCTCAGTTGCATTCTTCTCCGTAAATTAATTGTATTGGAACGACATCTGCCTGAAATTCCTTGGACTGGCAAATCGTCATTTCCTTTTTATCCGTTTTTTCTCTCGCCAAAGGTTCACCTGAAGAAGATCCACGATTTTGTCGAGGGACCCAAGGAAGATTGTGTTCAAGCTAAAGATGCTGATATCATTCAAGAAGATAAAAGCCGCGGTGAAGTATTCGATGCTGTTGTACCGCCGAGTGCAAATGTGGAAAACAGTGACGTGCTTGAACAGGTTTTATTCCTTACCGGCCTTGACAGCGATGTTGCTGACCTTCAAAAACAATTGCACCGTGAGGAACCTGATCTCCATGAAGCCGTGGACGATACGGGTTTGTTACTTTTTTTCATTCGAATATATTTCTGGGTGCAAAAAAAAATGAAAAAAATTTAGAAATCTTCAAAAAAACGTATACATGTGGATTGAAAGTAATGTACAGTATAAAAAAGATGACCATACTGCATAAGTTGAAGTATGATCACCGTATTTACTCGAGTACCACGCGCCATCGAGTAAAACTCAACTGTTGAATTTGAAGAAAAATAAATTTCCCCGCATATGACGCGCGTACCCAGGTGTTCACTGGTTCAAGATCTGTTTTTTCTTCTTTGAGTAATCGTATTCAAGTAACTCATCATCTAAATAATCATAATAACTAGAAGCAATACTGTACAAGAGGGTAATTAACAAACATAACTTTATGTTTATTTATTTTTTCTCCTTCGAAGACTTCCTTACGACTTGCACGACAGGCTGCATTAGTTCATTTATGCATATTTTTTGAAATGTGAACCCGCTTACCATTTTCACCCCACTTTTTTGCCTTGAATTTTGTGGAAAAAGGTGCATGTGAAATTCAGATAAGTAAGGTATTAAGAAATTATTTAATGAAAAAAATTCTAAATATCCTGTATACATAGAATTCTACGTCTAACGCGAGTCCGATCTCGCTTATCTTCATTGAGCCGACCAATTTAATATCATCGGCTCACGAGATCTTCCTAATAAAAATGTATCTCTTAGGAACCTTGGTGGAACAATCTGAAGCTGAAGATACTTCTATGGAAGCTGAAGTAGCAAAAGACCCGAAGCCTACTGTAAAACAAGCGAAAAATTTCGCATGTCATGCGTGTCCAGCCTCTTACAAGAGGCTCGCGCATCTCAAGGAACACGAGAAAGAAAAACATGGAACTTCGTCCATTCCTTGCGAAACCTGCGGACGCAGATTTTGGACCAAGCGTTTGTTGTTATCACACGAGCGAGTTCACGTTATTGGCGGACTCCACGAATGCGAATTGTGCGGGAAAACGTTTCGGTACAAGAACGGCGTGAAGAGGCACGTTCAGGCCCAGCACGGAGATAAACGATTTTCCTGTTCGTTTTGCGGAAAGAAATTCGGCTTCTCAAATAGTTGCAAACGACATATGGAAACTGCTTGTCCAAACGTAAGTAGAATTGAATTATTTATTCTGTGCCTAATTCTTTTTTTTTTCTGCGTGACGCGAAGTTTTTGGACTTGCTCAAAAAAATTATTTATTGTAGCGTAAATAAAAAAATGTTTTTTCAGGTAATCCCAGCGCAAAAAGATCAGAAGAATCCCAATTATCTAGCTTAATAATCACCCCATCGATTAAGCACGATTGAATAATGCACTGTATTGAGAATGTAGGAAAATTTGAAGAATGATCTGATAGAATATTATGAATCGTGCCTCAAATCTTGAAATGGAAAGGAAGTATATTTGTGTAAATTGTAATTTTAGAGTATGGTGTGTGTGTCCAATCGAATGTCCGGTTTCTGGGGTTCTGCTTTTTCTCTCTCTGCTAATGTTAAATTCTGGAATATGTTACTTTCCTATAAAATCATTCATTTTAAAGCTACTTTTTGTGTCTCTCGGGATTTAAAAGAAAGTTAGATGCTATTTTATATTTTTATCTCTCATTTCTATCCTACAGAAAGAATTTTGTTCTCAGCCTCTTGATTGCTTTTTGCTGACTTCATCCTCATGCTGTACTTGATTATTTTTCTTGTACAGTACTGTACATTAGTTTTCGGAAAATGCATTATGAATTTCTTTCTATTCATATAATTGGAATCTAGTTACTTTCAAAAAATCACTTGATAAGGAATTGTTGAATGAAACAAATTAATTTTTGATGTCTTCGCAGTAGAGGCACTGTGTTATTCAAGTCTTCATATGACGGAGTTTCCATTATAATTAATGTTTTTTCCAGGTCCGGATTATATTTTGAAGTCTACTTCGTTGTAGAAACATATTATTTGTATCTTATCAATTTTCAATTTATTTTACTGCAGGCTCCAGCCTCGATTACTGGGGTACAAGAGGCCGAAGTGGAAGAGCATGACGAAAATCCTATGGAACCTGCTGCATTTTCCCTGGATCTTCTAGGACAATACAATCTTCTGTCTCAGCGACAACTTATAGGGCCTCTGGGCGGCGTCAGACTTGACTAAGAAGTTGACCTGTTGGAGTTAGAGCTAAACCTGTGGTGCTGCACAAAGGTAGTCGAAAACGAAGCCGGGGAATATTCTCTCATTTTGCCTTCACAACCTGTTCTCCCTCCACATCCACCTGCTTCTCTTCCTCCTCCTCCTCCTCTTCCTTCGTCAACTTCTGCAGCTGAACCTGTTAATCTGCCTGTGGTAGAACCTGTTCGGGTTTCAGCGCCGGAACGTACCCAGCAGCAGCAATCCGCATCGAATCATTCCGTGTGCCAAGTCTGTCACAAGAGTTTCAAGAAACGAGCGGATTTTCAGCGGCATTTGAGAGTTCATACTGGGGAGCGGCCTTTTGGTTGCGATTTGTGCGAAAAGAAATTTTCCACTTCGTACGCGTTGACGAGTCATAAGCAGCAGGTGCACTTTCCGGTGAAGCGGGTCGAGTGTCATGTGTGCAACAAAATGTTTGCCAATCGGTCTGCGCGGAATTTGCATTTGAGATTACACACGGGTGACAAGCCGTTTGTCTGCAACGTCTGTGGAGCAGCGTGAGTTTTTTTCTTTCTTCTTGAATTTTTAATTCTCTTCTGGAGAGCTTCAATAGAGTTACAGGTGAACATAAATTCTTTGATGCATAAGCAATTATCGTATTTACTCGAGACGCGCACCAGGGTTTTTCAGCCAATTTTATAAAACAAAATTATATCCCCGAGTAAGACACGCACCCCATTTTTAGTGACTAAAACTTCAATGAGGTATTTCGAAAATGAGAGCGCCAAAATTTGAATAAGTACATGAAATAATTTTTAATTACAGTAGAATCTCGTTGAAACGAAGCATTTGGGTCCATAGAAAACTAAGCTTCGTTATAAACGAAAATTCTTAAAAACGAAATAAAATGAGACAGACAAGAAAAACGGATTCTTTTCGAGCATTGATTCGTTTTAACGAGATTCGCCGTAGAAAAGATCCTGCTGTATTTTCCATCATAAGTTTTCTGTTGAAATCTGTCTAAAATGTCCCACTAGAATCTTCGAAAATTTAAAAAAATTTATTCCTGCGTATGACGCACACCCCGTTTTTTCCTCTTGAATTAAAAAAAAGATGCGCGTGCCAAGTCAAAAAATGTGGTAATTAGCTGTTGGGGAATCTACAGGGCAAAATTCAACTGAAGCGAAGTAAAATTTAATTAATTGTTGCGGTTCAGATTTAAATAATCAAATGGGCAGAATTGATGGCACGTTTTTAGTCTCTTTCTCGCAATTACAGAAAATTTGGATTACAATGCGCGGATTTTGAACATCTGCCGTTTTGTAAAATTTCCTGCCTAAAATGCAACCCATCGTAATTTTCTGGCTTGTGTACAGTATTCAGAACATTGAAATCGAGATTTTGAAAAAGAAAACCTTGAAACGTTCTTCTCGACGAAAATTTGTAATTACCGTAGTTTCGTGGCTAAAACGTTTTCGTCTCATTGAACAAATTAGGATTGCTGAAATAAATTTCAACAATAATTTATTGGTGATTCCCAATCCACAGGTTCCGGACATCCGGCCATTTGTCGTCGCACAAGCGGAACCACTCGAAAACTGGGAAGGAAGTGTTGGTTGTTCCGGTTCTCCCGACGTCCACTTCCTCGTTCCAAACCATGCATCGTGGAGATTTCCTCAACACTTCTGCCGACCTGCCATCGTGTGTGCAACAACAATCTGGACTGGATTTAGACTCCGCACTTTCTTCCCTCGTCGCGTCCTTTGACAATGCCGACGTTTTGGGTCTGGACAATAATGGATTCGGTTATGTGACGTGATTGCATTCCTTCGTCGGTCGATGTCATGAAGGCATTCCCATTGGTATGTTATTGTTGAATTTTTTTTTTTTTCATGATGGAGGCAAAAAAGCTGTGCTTCGCTTTGTCGTCTGCTGGTTTTCATTCTTGCAGCGTGTTGGAGATTTTTCATCTCGCATAGGTATTCACTGTTGATTGAATTTCAGGCTCACGGAAAATGGCGCGAGAACTCGCATATTTTCGGACTATGGGCTCGGGTTTATCACAGATTTTGTTCAAAATAGTCAATTGTTTATATGATTTACTGCAGGAAAAGTGATTCTCGTTTTTAGAAGAAAGGACTTCGCAGTCGGAAATTTGACTAACAGCATAATTTTCAAATTGGATGCACGAGAGATTTTCAAGAATCATCCATTGTCTTGGGCATTGCTGTCATAGTGATGCTTTTATGTTTTATATTTTCAGTTGGAAGTCTTGATT